AGATTTTGCACTCATAATTTGCAGATTGGTAAGGGAGCCGCAGGTGCCAGAGGCGACGACACAAAAACATTGAAGTCTGCGGTGCTAGATTGGATTTCCCCGAAAGGAGAAGCAATACAGCCTCCTTTACACAGAAACTCCAAAATTGACCGCGGATTCAACCACAAGCTCACTGGATCTCTCCTCTGTGTTGCTGGGCTGGATTGGAGTGATCCTCAGTATGCTCCGGTTTGCTGCCCTTGAATATTGCACTTATTCTTATTTAACAGGATTAAAGAGGATCTTCGCAGTGGTGAAATGTTGGTCTGTGGGGATCAGTGGCCCATATTTTTGTATGCCCACTATGTTTATGATCATGAGGACCCATGGTCCGGTCTTCTTAGGAGCCGCTTGCTTGTATGTGTGAGTGCGCACTTGTGAGATCACCTTGCCCATTTACTTCATCGTGTTCCAACAGGCCTACAAGCACGTTTTCACCTCTCCAAGCTCAGTCGACAGAGAGCCCAAAGCCACGCGATCCGGCAATGCTCGCCTCCACGGCATGAATTGTGTCACCATGGCCTCCATAGCCTATATCGCAACTCAGGTTCGTTGATGATGATATTTTTGTGTGCAGTGCTGACGTACGAGTGAAGGTGCAATTCGCCTTAAGCTCATCTTCAGTGTTCTCACAAACCAACATGACCACGGACTCTGAGACTTTCTACCATAGCCTCCTTGACCTCTTAGAAGACCCTGAGGAATCTAAGGAAGTTGACGAGCTGCTTACTTGGTGGAATCGGTATGTTTTACATTCTTCACCACGTCGCCAAGGCTGATACATTATCACCTCCTCAGCCAAGTTTTTCCTACTTCCTCTGCTGCCAAGAGACCTATCAGCACCAACAGCACCTTATCCAAGATACGACAAAAACGAATGGCCCTCGACAAGCTACAAACCTCCATAATATCTCTTCGTAGATTTAATATACTCGTCTGTCTGTAGTAAATAGTATTGCAATCTAATGATAGTCTGCTTTTGCTTTGCATCAATAAGGACCATTCTTCCACGAAATGCTGACGGAAGAAATCGCCTGACCAATATAAACGCACCAGCACAATGCAACATGTTGTAAGATTTTATCTAGAAGCACCCTTGAGAGTGTGTTTGCGGAGAAAAATAGACTTGATTGCATTGCATATGATAACCACAGCTCAGCAGCTATCCGACGGATAGCACTACCCTGCCATGTCTCCGCGCCATGGGAATAAAAGCAGTCCCCATCCAAAAATGTCTGGCCTTGGAAGATTGCAGCAATTAGAGAGAGAATGGGGAACATGCAACAAGGAACTATCTTATTGTACGTTTGTCGTATCTCAAGCGGGGATCACAACCACATACCTAAGGTCGACACCAAGGGGGTTCTTGTTGAGAATACAATGATAAGCTCTGCCTGCATAAGGCAACCACATTGGCAGAGCTCGATACTGCGTTGGATACACCCAGCACTGTTGGACTATCGTCCGTTATAGCCCAACACAATCCAACCATATAAAGGTTTGACTCACGCTGTCATTAATTTATATATTGGGGAGTATAAAATTCAAATCTCATCGTGCATACACTCATCAGACCTCGTTGAGGTTGGGGAAGATGGTAATCCACTGCCATTCGTTGCCCAGATTGTGCACTTGGTAGGTTGGAGCAACGCAAGCAGGAATTGCAACCACATACCTAGGGTTGACACCGAGGGGGTTCTTGTCGAGAGTACAATGACAAGCTCTGCTTGCATAAGGCAACCTCATTGGCAGAGCTCAATACTGCGTTGAATACACTTGGCACCATTGGACCATTGGCAGTTATGGTCCAACACAGTCCAACCATATAAAAGATTATCTGACACTGTCATTAGTTCAGAGATTGCAGAGGAAGTAAAAGCAGTCAAAGGCTACATGCCACCACCAGGGTAGGGCGGAATTGTAGTATATTGCAGCTGGTCCTCGAGTAGGCGACGGCGGTTGGTCTCAACAACTTAATATTGTATTGCCACGTCTGATGGGTGTTGCAATATGTGCAATTTCAGTGACAAGCTGGCAAGTGATTGTGACTAAGCTGTCACGGTTGTGCATCTGATGGTTTCTATCCAACTAAGTCCAAGTATTCAAAGCTTGCTCATGAGGGGTACAAATTTGATGATTATTGTGCATATTTTAAATCAGATAAAGCCTTCTAATGATTTATCATTTTCGGGTCGTTTACCTGATGTTGTTGATGGTAGGAACTGCCACAAAATGAACACTGGTGATCATAATCTGCAGGCATATCTGTAACAGCCGAAATCATGTGACAACGATTCAGAATCAGTATTAGATCAAATCAAAGATAATAATGGTACTGACTGTAACAGGCGAGAAATATTGGGGGACACAGTTGATGGAGGGATCGTTACAGTGGCATCAAAGATCAGACAGTTTAAGCGCCACAGCACACACTGGAATGAATGCTGCAGAAGACATGATTCGAAGTGCATAATCAAAGTCTCAATGAGGTTATCACCCAGTATCAATAATGTGACTCACCACGAATAATGCCAAGTTGCTATCAAAATGGCAACTTCAGTACAAATATTCTTATTAGGTATCAAAAATGAGACATAGATACAAATATCTCGACTCAGTTCCAATACGGTTGGAACTGAGTCTCAAAGGCACGTGATTGCGACCGACTTGGGAAATTTCCAACATTTGCGTGACTGCCAACTTCTGGGGGCTGCTGATTGCATGTACCATGATAGGATAGGAAGGACTAAATCTAATGAGTTCAAGTAGGACCCATGAGAACCCCTTTGGAACCCAGGTTGGCTGAGGCCCAAACTTGTCTGGACACATTTTGAGGATTTTTGTCCGGATGCCGTCCTGGGTCCACCTGAGGGGTGAATTTTGTCCAGACTCTGACCCAGGTTACCAAAAAGTCTCAAAAAATGTGTCTTTCTTATTCTAAGTAGCTAGGTGTGTTTAGAATAGCCAAAAAGAATCAAAAATCGCCTTCTTCATCCCTCTGTGTGGCCCCATTCCTCGAAGTCCTCTTGCAGAACAATTTGGCAGCTTCCGCCAACTGAGGCAAAGCAGTTGATAGGATATTGAATGCCCTTGGGGAATCTCCAGTGCTGCAGAACGAGCAAAGACCACTGATTGTGGAAGTTTTTTTAAATCATATTTATGGCCTTTGCCAATCCATTCATGAGGGTGAAAAATAGGGGGACAAACGAGATCGAGCTCGTTCATAACTAGAAGTGAGACAGAAGAACTGTACCAATGAAAGAAAAAAGATGTTGGTTTGTGCCAGTTGCACTTTTGTGGGCATCACATATAGTAGTCGACTTGCTCAATCGAACGTCAAGCGTCCAATGGAAGCTATAAAAAGCAAGATTCGAACTCTCGCGTTCAACATTATCGACTGTGTCGTTCCGCTACACTACGAGTCTACCATATCTTACATCCATCGGGCAATAGCCCATGTCCGGACTTCAACCTGGCATACCACCACCCCCTTCGCAGATGTCCGGACGTTCACCTGGGTTGACACCCAAATTAGACGTTTTGTGTCCGGACTGTAACCTGGGTGAAACGGTCATTTGGGTCAATTTTTGTCCGGATGCCAGCCTGGGTTCCATGGGGGTTCTCATGGGTCCTGTTCAAGTTAGCGTGCGGCTATTCCCGTACAGGTTTAAGTCGCTATTTGCAAACGCATTTCAGACTGAGAATTTCCAGGTATGCTATTCTGGAATGTTTTGCTTATGGAAAGTCATCCACTATGCTCTGAGCCGGGCGTGTGCATAAGCGCTCACACACACACCTACTATCAAGTGAAGAGGCTATCATATCCACAAACAGCAAATTACTCGACATCCAACATCGGGTGCGCGGTTCCTTGATGCGTGTGCTCTTGTCATGTTTTCCTGCGTGTTTTTGTCGCCCCCAGGTTGGAGCTGAGATTATCAACGGTGCCGTAATGGAGGACTCGGATGGTTTTCATACTCTCAAGCAATTTAGAATGTTCGATACGATATGTAAGTCTCAATCCAGCAATGCCTTAATGATTGATTAACTGCATGCATGCAGGTCTCGATATACTGCTTCAAATTAGGTTTCTAACGCTCATACGAGGCTCCAATTGGATCACTCCTTGACTGCATCACGGTGACCAACATGTGGCTCGAACAAGTTCCAGCCCGCTGGATATCGATATTAAATGTCGGTGCAATGTGCTCAGTTCAGCCTATCTGGAAAAATTGAAGTGGCAGTAAGCCGTGTTATCTACTAGAAGCGCTCGTTCAAATTTGATATTTCTCTTCGCTGGGACGCTACAGTGACAGGGTTCGTTTAAGTTTTACATTTTATTTTCATTTCTTTGCCTTCGGTAAGCGCTTTGAGTTTCTGCTATGCCTAGACTACTAATCTGAAGTCGAGATTAGGTTTCAGCTAAGTAGAGGGTCCGAGTCACCGCTGTATCTGCACGACCCAGATATCACAATCTGGCAAACCCTTTTATTGCATTTCATCCAAATGATCACTAGTACGCATGCAGGTTTCCTTATGTTGTTGTCCATTAGTTTTAGAAACATAATCTGGACAGTGATTGGCCTCCAATGTCATCCTTGACTGGCCGCAACGATTCTTTCTAGACCTGCCAGTGGTGCCAGCATCAGCACACGGGTGGCATGCTTCGGCACGGCAGAGACAGTCGCACTTGTTCGATCATTCCCAATTTTCTATGAGGCGCAATGGCAATGTTTGACTTCCATATCTATATCCAGGGTCCTGAATGAGCGCTTGCTCCCACTTCGCATAGAACACGTGTTCCCATGTATTCAGTGAAAATGCCTGTAGCGTTCTGTTTTGATGGGCCAGATTCGTGTACGATTTACATGCAGTAAATCATTCATGCGGAGTTCCATTCGTCCCTTATAACTGCTGTTCATTGACTTTTAACTTCCCAACCCACGTGCGGATAGTTCTCGATGGCTGGACGGACCCCTCTGGTGTTCATAATCCTCGCCTCCACTTGCATATTCGCTCTTTGCTGGGGGTTCATGATTGTAATTTGGCATCAAGAATATGTGATTCTCCCCGACTCCGTCGTCGACCTCATTGCAAGATATCCTACTGAACTCACCCTCATATCCTCTGTGATATCCACGATTCTGTCAGCAGCCAGCACTATGTGAGTTCAGATAGCTAGGTGTACGCAGTGCTTCGCTGACATCTGCATCTGCATCCAGTCTTTTATCGCTCGCTGTCAAACAAGCAATCAACCATTATATTACTCGACCATTATCACTGGTCGAACTCCATACTGCAATAGCTCTCACCAAACATGAACCCCTTGTTCGATGGGATTATTACAAACTCTCAATTTTCACATTGGTTTTTTTTCAGTTTGGTTACGCTCCTCAATTCAAGGTTTGAAATCGTGCTCACGAGTCCCATAACTAACACATACCCTGTCGCAGCTGGACGACATTCATATTGCCGACATCGCTTTTGTGGCCTGTATCGATCGAAGGCTATAGTCTGGACCTTTCAAGCAGTGTCTTCAATACGAAACTAGCTAATGACACTGCTCGGCCAGGATGTAGGGACTGTGCATCCTTATTCAATGGGTGGTACCCATTGATAACCCCATTATAGATTACCAGAATGGTTTCGATATCCTCGACATTATGGCGTCAATGAGCGGGACTTCAGCCACACGTTCGGCTGTTGCAGGTGGAAATGATAGTGTGTTCGCCTTCAACGGTGTCTCGTACATCACATCCAGTGGTGCGCTCTGATGTACCAGCGTACCCCGATTAGTATCTCATTCTGTTCTCAGGTGGCATCCTTCCGGCGGTGGAAGATTATGCAGGCACGACATTGCCCCCTGAATATATTGGTCTCGAGTACTACGGTGGACAAGTCGCGGTCAATACATCGCTCGTCCAAAGACCGGGGCCGTTCTGGACTCGCTAGAAGGCTATACGGTGACGCAACAGGGTCTTTCCGCGAATATTAACTGCAGTATCCTAACTGACCTTGACTCAACCGAGTTTTCGACGAACTTTGAGAATTCTCTTCGACGGTCCCTTGGAGAGTATATTAAAGCATGGAATTGGACAGCTTCTTGTCCTCTCGGCGGTACGTTTGTACGGTCCACCTGTATCTGACGCGTCCTGATGTTGTTTGTCAGTGGGAAACGGCTATTGGGTGACCACGGACTTCTGGATATATAACAATTCATATGAATGGCCTTCTCGGTATTATTAACTGTCCCACTGCGAACTTCGCGAACACTAGTGTCACATCATTCGGTAAGCGAGTTCAACGTTGAGAAGTTCCAATGTTGATCGTCGTTACTACCGTAGACATCTTCGTGAGGGCCCTCGGAGAATATAGTTTCATTAATACAACAGTCTGCCATGTGGCACCATATGTGGCTTCGTTCAATGTGACATACAACCAGTCAATGATCTCCGTCGATCAACATTCCACATGGTCCCATCCAGCTACTGCCAGAAATAGCAATCGTTGTCACCGCCTTCATATCAAACGTAGTATACCAGCTATCTATCTCTAGTCAGACGACGTACAATAACCCTTTGGGGGGGATTACTGCGGCTTAAAGACTCCGACATTTCGGTGAATGACGCCTTGGTGAGCAGCTTTTGCCACATTTAGAATGGCAAACAAATTGTCGAGTTTCACAGGCAGACTACTTCCGCTGGCGTTGTAGAGTTTTCTGCCACAGTAAGTGAACAAGCTCGTCTTACCCATCGCTCTCAAACGGGGGGCTGATATACCGTAGTACCTTCGTTCTGCCTACTCTGCAGGAAATGCCAGTACGAGTGCAACGATGCAGGACTTGTACACGGACGAAAGGTGCTTTCACACCCCTGAATGGAACAATGTATATCACGACCTACGGCTGGTACAGAGGACGCCTTACATACATCTATATTCTCTGCGTCTTCACGGTCATCTGGGCGGTTACCGTATCAGCTGCGGTGTACAGTCTGATTCATGAATGTATTCGCCCACGCGCCAATCCCGCGTTTGATGCGTCGAACCCAGTCCATCTAATGATGGCATCTGGACTAGAAACGCTCCCAGGATTTGAAGATAACGGAGATTTGGAGAATGAACGTGCACGAGTGCGTCTTCTAGATGGTCAGGATGTGGCACCTGACGATGCAGTGGGAGAGAAGACATCCGCTCGGCCTACTAGATCGACAATGCCGCGGTTCGAGATTGTACCGTAGGTGAGGAGCCTACAGCTGCTGGGTATAACGTGCTATGAGATCTTTCGTGTATCTTGCTACCGTGATCTGTACGGTCCACCAATATGTGATTATTTTTCGTTTGATCTGATTCTTACGGTCTTGGCTTCCGAGTTACCGCGCATCGCACCTTATTCCACATGATAGTCTTACAGAAAATCTACAAAAGACCCAGTAGATAGACTTGTAAAGCCTGGCGTTCTTGCAACTAAGCTATTGTCTGGTGACATTGCTCTGATCGTCTTAAATCTTTTCCTTGTGTCTTCACCTTGAGCTGTCGCCACTTTAGTCAGTGGCTGTGCCATGACAAGCTACAATATTTGTTGTCAGGTTCAGCGCTGAACATCATAAGGCTTATACGAAGCACAGGTAAGGACTGAGGAAACGTAGCCATATTCGAAGTTCTCCTATCCCAACTCGACGTTCGGCACTCCCGTTTCATTCTGCCTCTGTTCCACATATTCCTTCATTTAGCGGACCGCGTCTTTTACAGGTTCATTCTGGTCCTCTGCTCCACGGACTCCTTCTCATAGTCCAGCCGCGTCTCATTTTCATTCCGCCCCCAGCTCCAACTATGATTTTGACGACCATAGCGTAGAGTGGAAGGTGCGGTTAGGTTACTTGGCAGGGTGGGTCGAGTTTCGGTTTTCGTCAAGCACGCGGTATCGTTGCTGCCAAAGGCCCAAGTAGCTGGCCCCATTCCGTCACCGCGATGCGTACTAAATTGCTTGACCTGTCCCGCGCAAGAGCAACGGAGGAGTGGAGAAAGTCCATTATTGACGAGGACGTCATGGCTTTAGCGGCAACGTGCATCATCTGGCAGATTTGAGTAATTGTACTGAGCGCAACGATACTTCACCACCAGATGTACTTCCTAGGCCAGTCTGAAGTTTGGAGAGATATGATTAGGTTTGATTGAAATCTCAGTTAAAATTTTGCAGGACTAAAATGTTGAAAACCCCAGGTTAGCGCAGGCCGACATTGGTCTGTGGCCCAATGCTCGGAAGAGACTTTACTATCATTGTACTTCGCCCTTATTGATAATTTCATTCTTCTATCATCCTTCTAGATCGCACTATTTTTAAGCGCTTCTGCAACTTCTGCCGCCCACCTGGAGGTGTTCTATGAGCCATTCTCAATGGGGGCATTTCTAAACCCGACTTTGAAGTCGTTGTGCCCCGGAGTCTTGGGTCGATGATGAAATGGTTCGAGTCTTTATCACGCGAGGCACCACGTACTGATGCCAATACGATTATGAGGCTCGGGGTAGATGCGGCATAGAGAACATTCCTGGATTGATTGCATTCCAACAGGCCATAAATGAGGCAGGGGTCAAGACACTGCAGGTGATTATGACGCGGTAAATTCCACTCGTCGAGTTGTGATGGCTATATTAATGGCAGAGTCAGTCGTGCAATGCTAATGACACACCCGCAGCAGAGTCCGCTATCTTTTGATCTAGCTTCGTCCCTACCCACCCAACAGCTCGAACCAGTAGCATCTGTTCTGAGCCAACGCTCGGACCCAGCCCGACTTAGCGTCGCATTTGAGTTTTTATTCCGCCGTCTAGTCGCCAAACTGCGGCGATGTGGATATCGCTCCGAGACTCCATGTTGAGGATTGATAAGTGGTTTTTGATCTGCGCGTAACGAGGGACGAAGTGGGTGGGCGCAACATTTGCATAAAGCTGTTAGACTGAGAGAGAGGGCCATTCCATCTCCGGGACGTAACAGCAGGAATCATTTCATAACTTATGACTACCTGGTCACCAGATTTCTTAACTTAACTCCTTCTTTTCTTCGAATAGCGCTCTATAGACGCTGAGAGAGGTACTGGTGAGCTGGTCACTCCTTCTGGTTTATCAAATAATGCGTCCAACTTCGGGATCAAGTTCTGTTCATTGAGGTATCTGAGATCATGTTACTGACAATATACTAGTTCAAGGTTATTTTCTCAAACTACTCAATTGGTCAAACGCCTTCGACAAATAGTTGCGCATGCTTTGCACCTCTTGACTTTGCTGATCGATGATCCCTCAGTTGATAGGATGCAATCTGGTCACGGTAACGTGACTTGTGATTGCTCGTACCCTCGTACCTGTGAAAAGTAATGGGATCCGAAGAATCTTGGTTACCGGGTGTGGATGTATGTAGGCTCGAAGTCTCTTCACTCAGATTAAGGGCTCGCGCTCAGCGCTCAACTTGTACATAATGCTTATGTAACTTACTGTGACCGTCAGACCATCATTTGGAATTCATGACTTCTTTGTTCCAAGCAGAAATGAACGTTTGTATGGCCGTCGCCGTGGTAAAGGGGTAACTTGACTGTCTTTTCTTTTGTTTAGCTGCAGCTTATACTGTCATACTAATACATCGAAACTGGGCTATTGTCCATAAATGCTACAATGCTGGGGACGCCATAATGATGAGAGAGGAGCTCAGCACGGTACAGGGTCCAAAAGAAAACCGATAAGAGTTTCAAATTGTTCCAGAACGCCGTCCGGCGTCAGCAGAGGCGCTCGACCGGAGCCAAGGCTCGCGCGTCGACGCGAATTACTTCCGCAGGATTATGTGAATACTGGATGACTTTCTATATGAGAATGTCATATAGATCACCTCATTAGGCAGGTGAACTGCAATGTCAATGTTCGTTAATGCATTTCCAATGAATTTACAATGATGTGTTGTTTCAACGTTAACTCTATTGGGCCCAATAGACCCTGCAGACGAAAATTTCCGACTGCCTTCCGATGTAGGATGTCTGCTGACGTAATCAGCCTTGCTCGACATGTGCAACGCGGCACATCGCGTAGTAATACCAAAGTGTGTTCTCAACCTTTCGCCAAGTATGTTAATTTCTCTTTCTCCCGCATCACGGGGTGTTGATGTGATTTAGAAGCAATTGGGGTCGGCAAAGATATAAACGGTGAAGGTGCCGAGTGTCAATGCGGTCTTGTCGTGATACCTCGACTCCAGCAATGATAGCAGCAGCTAGGACCTGAGCCCCTTCTTTGTCGTCATTGAAAAGGTCTGCCTCATCAGCATTAATGTGATAAACTCATTCTGGAATACAAGATCGTCCATTGATGGGAAGGACTACTACATCTAATGAGTTAGCGTGCAGCTTGATTATTTGAGTTTAACTTTCCTTTACACAAGTCTAATTGGTCGATACGTTTGAGCTTTCACATGCGGGCCTATCCAGGGTCTATACCCTCTCCATCATGATATGCTGCTCCAAATTAGGTTTCTAACGCTCATATTAGGCTCCAATTAGATCACTCCGGAGTCCCTGACTGCCAGATCACGGTGACCAACATGTGGCTCGAACAAGTTCCAGCTCACTGGATGTCGATTTAAAATGTCGGTGCACATTGCTCAGTTCAGCTTATCTGGAAAAGTGGCAGTAAGCTGTGTTGTTTACTAGAAGCGCTCGTTAAATTTGACATTTCTCTTCGTCGGGACGCTACAGTGACAGGGTTCGTTCAATTTTTACATCCGGCCTGGATCTACAATATTTTGTCTTTACACGTGTGTATTCATCATTTCTTCTTCTTCTTCGCTTTCGGTAAGCGCTGGGTCTCTGCCATGCCTAGACTACTGATCTGGAGTCCAGATTAGGTTTCACCTAAGTAGAGAGTCCGAGTCACCACTGTATCTGCACGACCCAGATATCACAATCTGGCAAACCCTTTTATTGCACTTCATCCGAATAACTACTAGTACGCATGCAGGTCTCCTTATGTTGTCCATTAATTCTAGAAACGTAATCTGGACGCTGATGAGCCTCCAATGTCATTCCTTGACTGGCCGCAACAATTATTTAAAAACTTGCCAGCATCAGCACGCGGGTGGCATGCCATAGTCCGGCACGGCATGGACAATCGCACTTATTCGATCATTCTCAATTTTCTCTGAGGCGCAATGACAGTGTTCGACTTCCATCTCTATATCCAGGATCCCGAATGAGCGCTTGCTCCCACTTCGCATAGAACACGTGTTCCCCTGTATTCAGTGAAAATGCCTGTAGCGTTCTGTTTTGACGGGCCAGATTCGCGTGCGATTTACGTGCAGTAAATCATTCCTGCAGAGTTCCATTTGTTCCTTATAACTGCTGTTCATTGACTTTAACTTCCCAACCCACCTGCGGATAGTTCTTGATGGCTGGGCAGAAGCTTCTGTTGGTGTTGACAATCCTCATCTCCACTTGCATATTCGCTCTTTGCTGGGGGTTCATGATTGTAATTTGGCGTCAAACATATGTGATTCTCCCCGACTTCGTCGTCGACCTCATCATAGGATACCCTACTGAACTCACCCTCGTATCCACTGTGATATCCACGATTCTGTCAGTAATCACCACGTTGTAAGTTCAAATAGCTAGGTGTACGCAGTGCTTCGCTGACATCTGCATCTACATCCAGTCTTTTATCGTTCGCTGTCAAAAAGGCAATCAACCATTATATTACTCGACCAATATCACTGGTCGAACTTCATACCGCAATAGCTCTCACCAAACCACAACCCCTTCTTCGATGGGATCATTACAAACTCTCAATTTTCACGTTGATTTTTGTCTGTTTGGTTGCGCTCCTCAATTCAAGGTTTGAGATTATGCTCACAAGCGCTATAACTGATACATACCCTGTCACAGCTGGACGACATTACTATTGCCGACACTGCTTTCGTGGCCTGTACCGATCAACGGCACAGATCTGGACCTCGGAAGCAGCGCCTTCAACCTGAAACTAGGTAATGACACTAATGAATTTGGAGGTAAGGACTGTGCATCCTTATTCATTGAGTGGTACCCATTGATGACCCCACTATAGATTACACGAAAGGTTGGGATCTCCTCGTTATTATGGCGTCAATGAGCGGGACTTTAGCCACGGCTTCGGCTGTTGCAGGCGGAGATAAAAGTGTCTTCGCCTTCAACGGTGTCTTGTACACCGAATCCAGTAGTGCGTTCTGATGCAACAGCGTACCCGGATTAGTATCTCATTCTGTTCTCAGGTGGCATCCTTCCGGCGGTCGAAGGTTATGCAGGCACGACATTGCCCCCTGGTGAATATATTGGTCTTGAGTACTACGGTGGAAAAGTCGCGGTCAATACATCGCCCGCCAATCCATCGCTCGTCAAAGGACGTTACGGACTTGCTAGAAATTATACAGTGATACAACAAGGTCTTTCGGCGACTATTACCTGCAGTGACCTTGACACAAACGAGTACTCGCTGAGCTTTACACCTTTCAATACGTCAAATACAACTTGGTGGCAAGGGACAGGTTATTGTTCTTCTCTCGGCAGTACGTCTGCACGGTCCACCTGTATCTGACACGGCCTGATGTTGTTTGTCAGGTAATACCAACTATTGGTCGACGGAGAACAATATTGATGAAATGAGTTTTCTCGGTATTCTTCTCTGTCCCATTCCGGCCACAATCGCGAGTGCTAATGTCACATCATTCGGTAAGCGAGTTCAACATTGAGAAGTGCCAATGTTGATCGTCGCCACTACCTTAGACATCGTCCTGCAGGGCATGGGACAATATAATTTCTTGGCTCAAACAGTCTGCACGGTAGCACCGTATGTGGCTTTGTTTGATGTGACATACAACCAGGGAATGATCTCTGTCGGTCAACAACCATATCTTCCCACCCAGCAACTCCAGACCAACAGTATGCATGATTGTCACCTCCTTCATATCGGTCGTAGTGAACCGGCTGGCTAGCTCTAGTCAGACGACGGCCACTAACCCTTTGGGGCAGTTGCTTCAGCTTAGCGAAATAAACACTACGACTACGGTGCATGAAACCTTGGTGAGCAGCTTTTGCCACATTGAGAACGGCAAACAAATTGTCTCACTTGTGAGTTTCACAGCAGAACTACTTCCGCGGCGTTGTAGAGTTTTCTGCCACAGTAAGTGAACGATCTCGTCTTACCCATCACTCTCAAACGGGAGCTGATATACTGTAGTACCTTCGTTCTGCATACTCTGCAGAAGGTGCCAATATGAGTTCAACGATGCAGGACTTGTACTCGAACAATACAGCTTTCACATCCCTGAATGGAACAATGTTTGTCACGACCTACGGCTGGTACAGAGGACGCCCTACATACATCTATGTTCTCATTGTCTTCACGGTCATCTGGGTGGTCACTGTTTCAGCTGCGGTGTACAGTCTGATTCAGGACTGTATTCACCCACGCACCGGTCCCATTTTTGATGCGTCGAACCCAGTCCATCTGATGATGGCATCTTCGGCGGGGGGACTAGAAGCGCTCGCAAGATTTGAAGATAACGGAGCTTTGGAGAATGAACATGCACGAGTGCGTCTTCTAGATGGTCGAGGTGTCACAGTGGCACCTGATGATGCAGTGGGAGAGAAGGCATCCGCTCCGCCTACTAGACCGACAATGCCGCGGTTCGAGATTGTACCGTAGGTGAGCAGCCTACAGCTGCGGGGTATAACATGCTATGAAATCTTTTATGTATCTTACTACCATGATCTGTACGACCACCAATAGTGACCCGCCCTTATACCATGTGATTGTTTTTCCTTTCATCTGATACTTAGCCTTGACTTCCGAGTTACTTGTAAAGCCTGGCATTCTTGCAAACAAACCATTACCTGGTGGCATCATTGCTCTAATCGTCTTAAGTCTTTTCCTTATGTCTTCACCTCCAGTATTACCAATTCGAGCTGTCGTCATGCTTTTAGTTACCGGCTGTGCCATGACATGCTGCATGCCGGGTTGAGCGCTCAACATCCTGAAGCTTACTTGAAGTACAGGCAAGGACAGAGGAAACCTAATGATAATTGAGTAAAAATCGCGCTACAGATACTACAAGGAGACAGCCTGGTTTCACTAGTTGCGTAAGTTGTACACCTTCGTGCCATAGTATACACCTGCAGCACTGCTCGTTGCAGCAAGCACAAGGGGTACCGGGCCCTTAGTAATGCGGGGAAGAGATGAGAGCAGGAGTAAGGCCGAAGCACCTATGAGAACAAAAGCCATTATATGTATAAGAATGTGAGGGTTTAAGGAAGGCAACGTACCCAAGGCGCCTTCCAACCCATTTGGCGCGCCCTTCCTGATGACATCTGCACTCCACAGGAACAGGAGACCAACACTAGAGTATAGGAGTTCGCGTAATACGCTTTTATGATGCCGTAGAACGACTCACCCGACGCCAGCGACAAGTGAAGGAACTGAACGAGTTCTTGCATACCCAGTGACGCCGCCGACGATGCAGAGGGCACCCATGGTGTATGCGGGGTAGGCAGACTGGATAGACTTGGGGTGAGTGATAATTCTATGCAAACAAAATAAAGTCTTACCATTGCGTAGAGTGAAGAGGATTGGAAGAGGATGATACGAAGTTGGAAGTAGAGTGGGTTTACAATTGTCGATCGTCAAGTCGAAGTTGCGCTGTGTTGCTTTTAATTCGGGCAACCGTGTGAACGTTTACCCCGCAGGCACCGCGGCATTTTGCGTCATTGATATTGATGTAAAATATAAAATAAATAATATATTCACCTTTTCACCAGCAGGACTATGGATGCTCAGCTTCTTGCACCGCTCACGCAACTTACTGCTCTTTCCCAATCACTCTTCCTTTCGTTATCTCAGCAGCCTTCGCAAAAAACAAGTTCCTCCACCTCCTCTAAGCTCATTTGCAGCCGTCGACGCTGAGCTGCAAACAGCACTGACAACAGCAGCAGCACATCAGCGCCGACAGGCACGCATTGTTGCGTTACAGCAGGAGTTATTGGAGGTGGATGCTCGATGGCGCGCTGTATGTGAGGCATTAGAAGAGGGGAGGAAGGTATTGGACGAGATCGTGAAGGAAGGCGATGAGCGTGTAGAATGCATAAGAAAGGCGAAGGAGGGTTCGTAGTCTCTTTTTTATCCGGTTGACATTAAACTTGTTTACACATGAAGCTGCGATTCCTTATCCCGAATTGCTTGCATATGCACAAAGCCTTAGCGCCTTTACGAGCGCGCCGCCAGGCTTGACTATGCCCGAGCCAGGTACCGTGGGTCCTGTGCCTCTATTCTTCCCGCCATTCCCGAATGAGGAGAAGATGCGCCGTGGCAGACTGAATGTGGAGCGTCCGCTGGGTGGGCTCGGGGAGAACCATAGCGTGAGGGGTGAGTGGTTCTTTCCACTGGTGGCGGGGTTTTGTCTGCCCGTGGTTTTATGTTTGTTATGTTTGGTTCGATCTTGTATCCTGGCTCTCACACCCAAATGTTATCATTATTTTTATGTGCATTTCGTTTCCTTCACTGTACAATATATTTTTCCCCTCCGTGCCTTCAAATTGAACTCAAACTAATGCATGAGCAGCGCCAGAGCCGTCGCCCCCACCTGTCCAGACACGCGAGCGCCCAGGTGTGAACCCTTACCGTCACGATACGCGCCCACAGCTGGCTGTGTTCGACCTCGATCTCGACCTCAACCCAGATCTATGATCTCTCGTCAGGCACTGCCAGTGAGTCCTGTTGTATTCGGTTTATTGTTTCTCTCACCTGGGTAACAGTAGTGCGGTGCGACATCGGGGAGAAGATTGATTGCGCAGATTCGAGGTGGTAGTCCCTTCAATAGCACAACTCTCGTCTCAATTAACAACAAGGGAGGCGCGCAGTTTTATGAGGCTGAAAACTACCAGCATATATCATCTCGGCCTATGAATAGTTGCAGCATTTATAAGACTGCTAGACATGATATCTCTATCCGATGTATATCGTGCCTGATGTCAGACGTTAAGGTACCATAGCTGACTTTTAACTATTGCCATTAATTCGGTTTCAAGGTCCATGCGCAAGATGTTATGATATGTGGGGTAAATGCGGGGTATGAGGTCCCTTCTCTGCCCCTCGATGATTCCAAATAATTAAATCAATGTCAATATATACTAGTACTAGTATCGCCGTGTTCCTCAGTCCGAAAATGATAAAGCGTGTCCACAAGCAAGTGCAAGCACTTGGAGGGATGTCAGGAAGAATAGTGTATCACGACGCAGCGCCCAAGCTTCCTGCGCAGGGTATGCAATAGCGAATGAGCATCAGTTGTCTGCCTCTTTTGTCTTGCGAAGGGTTCCTAGCACAGTCTTTGCCTCCATTAGGGAGGCTACCTTTGAGCCTTTGGTAGACACTTCCTGTAGATCCCCATGCACAACTAGTGGTGCTGCAGGTATAGGTGCAGACTTGGACCGTTTCACCATTTTGGCTAGCAACTCCGATACACCACCTACACTCCGCCTCTCTCTGCGGTGCTCCTTATTGGCACGAATCTTGGCCTCTTCAAACTGGCGACCCCATATGATAAGTTGTCTGCGAAACCCAATGTTTGGCGCAACTATTCCACGCTTTGCTTGGACATGCTTGATGGTCTCCAAAGCGTGCATTGGTGTTGTTGCGACGAGATAAGCGCAAATCAAGATCGGTGATCTCGAGATCCCCTGGAAACAGTGGACCTGCGAGGGATGCCTCTGTTGGTTCCTACAAATTAAGAGCTTAGCAATCCAAGGCGCACCAAGACTTTCGTGTCTTCCTTATCCAGTGCCTCCTTGATAAACTCCACGACGGGATCGAACCATCTGCTAATATGCTCTTCGGCTGAGTCATGCACGGGAACGTGGAGGACCTGGATGTGCGGTGGAAATACGCCCGTGATATCAAATTCGATAGCAGATACGACGTGTGTGATGCCGAGGCGTGCGAGGTTGTCTGGTGTGCGAGCGGTGTGGTAATCGGTGAGATAGAGGCGAGGAGTTATGGCTGTTGCTGCGCGTCCGTGAGACGGGTCTGCGTCGTCCCTTGGGCGTCGAGAAGTTGTCTTTTGGATGAGTGAGGATTGCCATGAGTAAGAAGGGAAGGATATCATGATCTAGGATGGTGTGAAAGAGGGAATGGTGGCTTCAGTCGTGCAACGATGAAGCTCCTCCAGTCAGAGCTGGGGATTTTATAGGTCCAGGTCGACTTCCGGATCAACTGGATGCCCCGATAAACAAGACCTATGGAGGTTTCTCAGCTGTCGTAACACATCAGGCAGCTATTTGCTTTGGACAGGTCATCACATTACATATGCCAAAACAACCATAAATACAACTCCAGGGCATGGACTCGGACGACTGCGAATTTTGTAATCGATCCTCATCCGTCCTCAGGCCTCATCGATCATCTGAATCTCTATCACTGCAGGTGGTAGGATTATCATTCCGTGTATCTACTACCCACAGTGATATTAGCTCAAGAAGAAGAAAGGACGTACGCTGCATCAAACACTTCAACGATTCTGACTCCCACAAGCATAACATCGAAAGGGCGACCTGAATGAGCAATGTTGTGCATCGATGTCTGGAGGTAGCATTACTCCTTCATCTCACAGGCTGCGAGGTTGTTAGCAATTCTTGATCGGAATGGCAGAAGCCTCCAGGCGAGTCGACGATACACGGCAGCCGAAGCTCACAGACAGTAGATAACACACAATAATGCGATGTATGTGATATGATATTTCGATAACCTAAGCCATGTGTAGTAGTCATGGCAGGTAATACACGACATGCCAAGTGTCTGGCATGTCTCTGGATACCAAAGATGAAAGCGAACTAGAGGCTTGCTCGCAACTGAATCATGATGCAGCCTTTTGCTCAGCCCGTGCTTTCCGCTGTTGCGGGGGATCAGCAGTCAATTACGGGATTTTGAGAAGTCAACCCACCGATCCATTAAGAGCGTAAAGCGAGTTCTTGCGGAACTATGTATGCTTGAGCACTCAGCACATAGAATCAGACACCTGGAAACGTACCTTTGCGTCAACCTATAAAGAAAAGTGAGCCCGAGAGCAGAGATTGAATATTTTGACAACGTACCCCCCTCAACGACCGAGACTTATTAGTTTGTGGCCTCCTGATACCATTGCGGTGTGCCTTGCGGTTCTGGTTGTGGTTGGTGTGGCTTTGCAAATTTCAGTTGGATAGATATCTACCAAACTACCAAACGCACTTTTTTGATTTGGCCATGGCGTCGATGTGGGCTTGAGGCTTGGACTCAAACGATTCGATGTGAATATTAATGACGGCGTTGGAATCAGGTATATCGAATGATGTGGCTGAAAAACTGTCTAGTTGATTGTCCCACAGTTCGGCAAATCCCGACTGCACACCCCTGACCAGATTGTCCCGAAGTCCGGCTTGTTGCTTCGGCAGGTCGGATTAGTAATACGTGACTTCTTACATCATTTCAACATTTCAAGTTGTAGGACTCGTCGTTCGATATATCGTCCAAACCACCATGTCGAAACACCACCCCGGTGAGTCTCCTCTCCTGTGGCACCAGAACAGAGAATGAAACAAGTTGATATAGATTTGATCATGTGCCGGCGCCAGCCTGGCATTGGTGAGTACATCATAAACCGATCCGGCGGTGATGTTGCTAATCGTATGAATACTTCAGCTATTGGCAGATTGTGTGAGAAGTGCGATGGTAAATGGTGCGCCAAGAAATGCTATCTTTTGTGCTATCAACTAATACGCGGGGACTTAGCCCCGTCTGTGATTCATACGTCCGACCTGAAACACTCGTCCGGATATGTGACGAGTGTAATTTTGGTACATATGGAGGAAGGTGTATTATCTGTGGATCACCAGGTGCGTTACAACTGCTCGTGAGTTTAGAACATAGATCGAACGGGCTCTTGTAGGTATATCAGATGCGTACTACTGCGCAGAGTGCACGCGGCTAGAAAAAGACAGAGACGGATGTCCGAAGATCGTGAACTTGGGTGCTAGTAGGACAGACTTATTCTATGAGAGACGCAGATTAGGTCAGTATTGCGTGGTTGAAAAGCTTCCTGTCAGCTGCTAACATAGTCCTTTGTCCCATTCAGGCTTCAAGAAGAGTTAGCCTTATACGTAGTACACTTTTTGTGCGACTGTGCATGAGTTGCACCAGATTTGGCGCTCCAAGACGTCCGTATTACCTTACATGAAGACCGAGTAGGAGTAGGTATGCAATCGAGTGGCTACCCAAATGTGTAGAACATTAAGAATATATATACTGGCATACATCTAGCGGTACACTGGGAAATTGATAATAGGCGGGCTGTCGTTGGGGTTTTCCAGGTTTGCGAATCGCCTATAACATCATTAGGTGACATTCCATGAAAGTTGTCAGAATAACACACCGGAATTGAACCATGTCGACCTTCTTGATGTGTTAGTAGATGAATAAAAGTAGGATACGGAAAACGTACAGGTGCCTTGAATACAACAAATATATGTGTCTGGTCGTGAGTGTCAAGAGATTCACATTCTCCACAGAGGTCTTTCGCGCAATACGCGCAACGGTACCATGCTCCTTGAATGCGCTCCATACAGCGATCGCAGAGCGCCGTGGAGTGAACCAAATGATAGAGATACTCTATGAGTCTCTAATATGAGTGTGCAAGCTTATCGTGTATGGTCGACAAACCTTGTGGATCTGCGTTGGGTGCGAGGCCGCCAACAGGACCTGCTGGAACCTTATACCTACCAACGTGTCACTAAAATCACCCCAATGCATTGTTACAGTTCAAAGCTCACAGTTTCGGAAGGAAACCAGACGGCGACTCGAGTTGTACATGGACAGGTCTCTGTATCTTGAAAAAAGAGTGCATTGGGTCATGGATGGCATATGACTTCTGCTCGCATGATTGGCACTTAAAATTATGATGAGAAAAGTGTTTGTGTGTAATGGCAATGTACATACCAAGCTATATGCAGCGGGTGAAGAGGGGCATGTAGTACATTGATATCGTGTACCGATTATTATCTGGGGAATCGTCAGCCCTTCATGGGGAAGTATGATTGCGGGGACCAAACCTGGTTGCAGCCCTTGCAGGACAGGTGGTGATTCAGCGACTCGCCATTGCGCGCACTGTGTCTCGAGCCGACGACCGTCTGAGCATATGAAGAATATACAGAGCCTGGTTGTGAGTGGGATGCGGTCAAAACATGTGCTGCGTCCCTGCCTGTCCATAAATGGATGGCACGGCGGCTGGCCGTTTGCACTTCTGTTGTTTCAAGTGGATAGGGAATCTTGGAAAAATGTGAGCAATATGTTCGACCCTGAGAAAGATAAAAAATACTTTTATCATAATATGCGAGGATATGTGCCCCCCGTCCGAGGAGTCCAAGTTGCCTGGAAGTCCTGCAGACTCGCAATTGGAGCAGATGTCGATGGAGTCGCAGATTGCGCAGTGGAATCGGGCACCGAGGATATCTTGTAAACAACTGAAATTCATCAGGTACTATAATCATGTCGCCGTAGGCCACCTACTGTGCGCACTTGACGCCGGGATGTTTCATAGCTACAAACATAGCGGTGAGAGAGGACACGGAACTGTTACTGAAAACACATACATCGTTCCTCGTTATTGTCGTTTGACATTATCATTGGCAGAGTATGTGAGTATTCTGGTTCACTTGTAGACCTAACAGGCTTCTCTGTGACTATCAGGAATGCATGTGAAGGGTGTATATCGTGGACTTGGCTGTCCAGCCAGGTATTAGCTCAGTCTACGTCGCACAAAAAGTCACTCGCCTGTAGCACGCTCGGCATAAATTGAATTTCTGACATGATGTACATTTATACCTCTCGTTCACGATCGTCGAATTGCATGTCGAACATTTACAGAAATGCATATCATCTTGCTCTGAAGAATGAAGGTAAAGATGTCGCTCCGAAGTTGCATATTCCATTAAATGCTTACCCACGTCTTCCCATCCATGATGGCCCCAAACCTTTTCAAAGTACGCATGTCTGAGCTGGCCTTTCTGTCTGGGAGCAGAACGACTCCACGAAGATAAATCGTCTTCCGGAGACGTGGATTCTGCACTTGATCCATTCCGCCGCTCCGTGCTTGCACGGAGCGCATGTATCACGCCACCCGATTCGACACATCCCGAGCACAGTTCAAAGCCCATAGTAGATGACTCGGACCCATGGCGAAATCTGAAGCCCGATCGTGCACTATACAACGTCGGGCTTGACGAAGAGGAACCAGGTAAGGAAGGGAGTGGCTTGTTATGTTTGTGTTCGCTGCGCGTCTGCGGCGACCCGCTTAAAGTGACAGCGTCGAAGAAAGTAGATGGGGAGGGTGAAGACGACAGAGGTGTGTGATGATGATGAGGGGGATAAGAATGGAATGGGTCTATATCTCTGGCCTTTCCTTTACCTAGATCAGAATCTGAGCCGTTGCGAAGCACGATGCTTGCCAGAGGTTCCTTCTCGCCACACACCGCACAGACGTACCGGATGCCATCTAGTATGGCTCCACAGTCTGAACAAGTAGTGAGCGAGCCTGGAGGAGGCCCTGTGGGTGCAATAAACTGGAGCACCTCTGGTGGAATGTCGGGAGCGATTGAGTATGGAACTTGGTCAGAATTGGAAGAGGGTGGGGAAGAACGCTTGTATGAATCAAGGGCGTCACTGGAATGATCATTGTCTGCGAGCTTTTGCTGCGAAGCAATCCACGTAAGCTGCATACTGTTTGGCCGAGGGGGCGAACCACCAGCGTCATACTTGACACTCAAATTGTCCTCGTAACCCGAATCATGTGTCGTAGAACTCGCACCGGTGTACGAATAGTAGTATTTCCCGCGAGGATCTCGTTCCAGCGCAAGATCCCCATCCATGTTGTTAGACGGAACGTGCTCGTCGGAATATGTTAATGATATTGACCTCGAATCTGATTCTGAGGGCTCAGGTGTTGCCCCAAGCATGGATTTGATTGTGCGCGCATTTTGATCGCGCAGCCACGCCGCTCCTCTGTCTTGAGCAGAACGTGCCAATGCTATGTCAACCGGTGTAGGAGAGCACGACCGATGCGAAGGGGCCATGTCGGATGCTGACGCATCAGGGTGCTCCTGGAGCTTGATCCGCTCAAATACAGCTGCAGGATCTTCTGGGACGTGATCTTCAGCGATGAGTTGGTGATGGTCTGCGAATGGACTCTCATCGTGCATTGTCTGATCTTCCGCTGTTGTAGAACCTCTTTGGGATGCCGAACGACCAGCAACACTGTTCTCGGGTATAGAATACGAGACTGTATTTTTGACCCAGTCATCCGAACGTGATGTGATAGGGTGTACCGTCGATCCTTTTGTGAAGCGCCAATTGGTATCTCTCGAGCTCACTGTCACTGAATCATCGTCAACTTCCCCTCCTCCAACGGGCCAGCTTAATTCTCCCTCGCTCCTGTTACGGCCTTTGTATTCTTCCATACTGGCGAGACTTGATGTGTCGCTTAAGCTCGGGCCATCGTAATCAACGGTGACGTTAACGCGCAGTGTTATTCGTCTACTTCCAAAGCTGCGGCCAGACAGAATTGATGCTGCAGAGGAGAGTGGAGGATCGTCAGACCCAGCCTGAAAGTATTGAATGGCTTCTGTGAGATCAGATTCTGTAGTGATATCTGTGATTTCGCCGTCATCGTCCTTGTATGCAATCACATATGAAGTCGCATAAAGTGAGAAGCACTGCTCAACCTGACCAACGGTATTGAAATTAAATATGAATGATGAGCTTTGAGCGTAAGTACATGACCAAAGAGACGCACTCTGTTCCTCAGCAACTCGTATGAACAGTTCCTAGCGGAAGCAAAGCTTATCCGTTTGTTCCATCTGTCGAAGGCGCACTTGACGACTAAGGGCCTGTCTGGCCGATCTGGCCTGGCGTGCATCTTTCTTGCAGGTTATGCCACCTTGGCCTAAGAGAACATATGTGACCTTCCAAAGCAGGTACACGTTCCGCAGTTAAGTCAGTGCTCGAGCGCTCAAGTGTTATCCCGTGCTGAGTAATTCGCACTGCATATGTCCTGATCAAAATAGGAATTCCCCTGTTCACTGGTGCTGGAATTGTTACTCTGTGCACTAAAGGATTTCTGTCAGTAGTATGAGCGTTTGAGCCTCTATTATATATGACATTACAAACAAACAAAGAACAAGAGGAATTGTGCGCATATACAATGATGACGTATAATGCTGAAAAGTACTAGGACAAATGGAAACTGCCAACTCCTTCTTTCATCGCAATGCGTAATCTCTCTCGCATCACCACTTTTGAACTATACTCCGGTAGCTTCAAGTAATTGACACATGTCATGACACTTGGCAGGTAATCGTCTGCCATAAGTGGTGGCTCGTGCGGTTTGCGAACGACAGTTAGTGGGGGGTTAAGGCCACGGAACCCTTTGAGGAGAGCGTCAGCCAGTCTTAAGATGAACTGTAACGAAACACACCTCCGATCGGAAGTTTGGGGCTTCCTGTAATAAATTGGAGGAAATCACGACGAGAGAAGGCATCGAAATCCGACATGATCCCTATAAGCTCGCGAATGGCACGACTCTCGCTGTGGAAGCCATGGTCGGCTTTGATAGCTTCGTTCAACGCTACAGCCTTGCTGTTAGTCACGTTGACACCAGTACAAGAATTCACATACTCTCGACTCCCCAGTCTTCGTCTGAGTTACCAAACAGCATGACCAACTCGTCCGCCGAGAACGCCTGCAAATCGGAGATGGGGAACACTTTAGAGAAGCCCTCTCGGAACGCCCTAGCCTGTGGCTGAACGCCAGCGCCAATAATTGCATCCAAAACCTCGTGAATGTATTCTTCTGCATTCTCCGAAGTCACAGGAATGTTACGTCCGCCAGGCTGAAACATGCATTACAATCTACTTGCGTAATGAAAACAAGATGAAACTCACCCGAAGCTCGATATCGTATCCGGGAACTGTGAAGTCAAGCGCAAGATCTTCGACATTGACAATATCCATCAATGCAACTTTACGGAAGAGCTAGATATCACGGAGGTAAGAAATCATCTAGTCTTGAAGTGGCAAATCAGTCAGAATACCTTCTCGCTCTGCCCTTTCATGGACGCGTAGCTCTGAAGTTTGGAGAGAGAGCTGGCAAGTTCGTTGTC